GCCACCACGTGCGCGCCCCCCGGGGCCGGAGCCAGCTGCCGGGCATCGATGTTCAGGTCCCTCTCCACGCTCCGGAGCAGCTCCTCCATGTCGGGATTCGGGGGCGGTGAACAGCCCTCACCCGTCGCGGTAAGCGCGACTTCCCGCCCGCTGCTCCCCAGGGCCATCCCCTCTTGGCCGCCTGGGGGCGGCGCGGGGCTGAGCCCGGCCACAGCCCCCCTCGCCTCGGCTTCCGGGATGCCAGGCGGGGTGGGTGGGGATGAGCGAGGGACTGGGTTGAGGCGGAGGGGGCGGGGATGGGCCGGGGACAGAGGCGGGCCGCGGGGGCGCTCTTACCCCTCCGCAGGGTCCTGCGCTCCGGGCGCGGCCGGGCGGGGGCTACGGGGCGCCAGCGCCGGGCTGCTCCGAGACGGGTCAGCTGACGCTGCTCACGTGACCGGCCCGGCGCGGAAACAACCGCACGTGGCTCGACTGAGCCCGGGGACCCCGCCTCCTCTAGGCCGCGCCACTGCCCGCCAGCCTCGGCGCCGGCTCCTTCCCCTAGCCCTGCTAGGCCTGGTGGCGGCTTCGCTTCCTCCAGGGCTGAATCGGGCAGGGTCGGGGGCTAAGAGCGGCCCCGAGACTTCCCCTTCCCTCCTTACTTCCTCCTTCAAGCGCTGGGACGCGGACCTAGGGAGGGTTTCCCTTAGAGAGGGCAGCCTTTAACCGGGTGATGACCCCCGCCGCCGCCGCCACCACAACCACCTCGCTCTGGTTTTACCGATAAGAAACCCGGAGCAGAGCTGGGACTTTTCACAGTAAGTCCCTTCACCGCCTCCATGCCGCCTTCCAAAAGAAAGAGCTTTTAATTTTCCAAAATGTTTCAGCAGTAACATTCCATTTGGCCCTGACAACACTCAGTGGTTTAGGAAGGGCGGTTATTATTGTTCATATTTTACAGGTAAAAAACCAAGAACCTTGGAAGCGGCTTGTCCAAGTGGCAGCATGGAAACTCAAAACTGGGGCACAGATCTGCTCTGGAGTCCTCCCCACTGACAGCTCTTTTAAGGCTTTTTTTTTAAATAATAATAATTCTGGGCAATTTTGGGGAGAGAAGTTGCCCAGGCTGAAAAGCCAGGATGGAAATGTTCCCCCAAGACCTCCTGTTGAAGATCTGCCTCTGCTGTATGACAGAGCCTGCCTGCTGTTGTCAGAGCCTTGCAGATGCCACGGTGGCTGGGCGGGAAGGTGCACCACGGCAGGGAGCAGAAACCAGGGAGCTGGCACCAGAACTACAGGATTCCTTCAAGAGGTCTCGGTTCTGACTCATTTGCAGGATTGACAGGCCATTGTCTTCAGGGAGACACCAGTATCTATTTTTCCAGTCCCACTCCTAGAAAGAGAGTTTGCCTCATGTAGGAGTCTGGTGTGGAGGTGTGGGAGCTCCATAAAGGCACTTAAGAAAAAACTAAAGTCCTAATTAGAGAGGAGACAGGAATGGCTCAGCCATAATTTGATTTCATCTGTATGCTTGAAAAAGGCAGCTAGAACCGCTGATGTGCTTGGTCACATGACCTTGAGCAGTAATAACTTACAGCCACCTCTTACAGAGCACTGATCAGGAGCCAGGCATCTTGCTAAGCAGTTTGCATACTTTAAATCCTCACCACAACCCTTTTTAAGAAGATAGTTTTAGATCCGTTTTAGGATGAGGAAGCTGACTACTTTAAGTGATTTTGCTTAGGTCCCGTAGCTAGGAAGTGGTAGAACCAGGATTCAAATCTAGGCCTGGCTCATTCTAAAACCAATGTTCTTTGTACTCCTCGGCCAAGCACTATTTTGTTTTTAATTAAAAAAAAAAAAATTTGGCCACGCCCTGTGGCATGTGGGATCTCAGTTCCCCAAAGGGATGGAACTGTGCCCCCTGCAGTAGAAGCACAGAGAGTTAACCACTAGGTCTCCAGGAAAGTCCCTTGTTTTGTTTTTTAAATTTTATTGGAGAATAGTTGACTTGCAGTGTTGTAGTTGACTTGCAGTGTTGTGTTAGTTTCAAGTGTACAGCAAAGTGATCCGGTTATACATATACATATATTCTTTTTCAGATACTTTTCATATAAATTATTACAGAATACTGAGTAGAATTCCATGTGCTGTATGGTAGGTCTCTGTTGGCTATATGTTTTATATATAGTAGTGTGTGTGTGTTAATCCCAAACGCCTAATTTGTCCCTCCCCCACTGTTTTCCCTTTAGCAACCATCCTGCAGTATTGTTTTTTTTCACCTGGGAAATTACGTGTTCTTAACAATCTTGTATCCCCAACATTGGTCTGGGTACCTAAGACCAGAGGAGGGTCTGGAGGTAGTGCCTGCTTCTTGTGTGCAGCGTGATAAGTCGCTTCAGTCATGTCCAACTCTTGGTCACCCCGTGGACATAGCCCTCCAGGGTCCTCTGTCCACAGGATTCTCCAGGCAAGAATACTGGAGTGGGTAGCCATTCCCTTTTCCAGGGGATCTTCCCAACCCGGGGATTGAACCCACGTCTCTTATGACTCCTGCATTGGCAGGCAGGTTCTTTACCACTAGTGCACCTGAGCCTGCTTCTTAGTACCAACAGAATTTTGCAGTCTTCTTTGCTCTGGTTTCAGTTTACTGAGGAGGCATTCCTTTTTCTTTCTGCAAGTTTGTGTGTGCCCTGCCCTCTAGTGGTTTTGGCTTGTAATGCACCAATGACCTTGAGTGTAACTAACATCTCTTCAGAGTTCTTTCCATCCCTTACATTGAGATGTCTTTGCAATACTGAGCACTGGTGTTCTAAAATTCTGGGGTAATGACACCTTCCCCAATTCAAACCCTAAGACCATGATTTTTCAAATATTATGATGTACTTCTGATTGAGACCTCTGGAATCTTAAGTTTTTAACAAGCACTAGGTATTTCTGATGCAGGCAATCTGCAGGCCACATTTTGAAATACAGTGTCCTGTAATAACTCTGTTCCCAAATGCTCCCTGAATCCCAGACCAAGTACCCTTGGGCTTTGGGGGATCTGGAACCAAGTCAGAGACTCTACTTCACCAAACCCCATATTGAGTTTCTCAGAGGTCATGGCTTGGATGGTCAGGGAGGGAGCCTGCAGCAGTTCCAACAGTCAGCCCATGCTGATGGAGCTCAGCTCTTGCCAGTGTGGCAAGGAGAAAAGTGAAGGAAGCTAATGTCTAGTGCACCAACTCTGAGTAAGGTATTGTGCTAGGTGTTTTCAAACATATTCCTTTTTAAAACCCTACAATAAGCCATGATTTTATTATTCATTCAATTTTGTACATGAGGAAATTGAGGCTCAGAGATGTGAAGTGTATCTTCATCAAGCTTACAGGTGGTAAGAGTTGGAATTTGAATCCAAGTTTGTCTAACTCAGTGGTTCTAAATGGTGGGTGATTTTGGCCCCCAGGGGACATCTGGTCATGTCTGGAGAAGAGATTTTGATTGTCATAAGTGGCAGGTGCGGCGGGGCGGTGTGCTAAAGGCACCTAGTGAACTGAGGATGCCAGTAAACAAGCTACTGTGTACAGGACAGCTCCCACAAGAAATTATCCAGCCCAAAATGTCAATAGTGCTGTGATCAAAAACCCTGGACTCAAAGCCTGTTGCTTTTGCCCTACAGAGTGGCAGGATGGGGATATGGTAAGTTAGAACAAAACAGGAAAGGGCCTATCCCAAGGGTCTTGGGTGAGAAGAAGGGAATAGGACTTCTGTGCTAAGCATAATGGTAAATGGGGGCAGCTGGTGAGATTTCTCTTTCTTCCAAGCTCGGCCAAGACCCTGCTCAGTTTCTCTCAACCTTGCCAAGTCAGTCCTGGGACGTCACACTAAGCTTGTCCTGGAGTGACCCTGACTCCCAGCTCAGGGCTGGGCAAAATATTTACCTGGGTCTTCCAGCACAGAACTTCCTAGCCTAAGCCCCTGGTTCCTGGGGCCTTTGTGCTCCACCTGCGGCCCCTGGGAGGTTCCATATTAGCACCTTTGGTGGGGGCGAGGGGACGGGGAGGTGAAAATATAAAAAATGGAGCAGTGTAAAAAATGTCTATGGAGAGTAATGGGCAAAGCCAGGAGGAGCTCCTTAGCAGGACCCTGTCTGGGGAGGAACCTGAGAGGGAGTAGCGGGGAGCTGGCCTGGGAAGCAGAGTTCTGAAGCAGGGGAGGCTCCTTTCCACAGTCATTTCTCTCCTCCAGGTTTGGTCCGCAGCTTCATGGGACCTTCCCCAGTATCCATTCCTAGAGCACCCACACACCCAGGCAGCCACCATCCTGGGCTTCCCCAGTACTGGCCTCCCAACTAGACCAGGGGAGGGCGGGTCTGCGCTGACTGTGCCGACAGGAAATGCCTCTCGTTCCTCGCTCAGAGCCTCTGAAGACCTAACCAGCAGGAGAGGGCGGAGAAGAAGGGGATAGAGGAGGGCAGAACTGGAGGAGGATGTGGTAACAGCTGATTCGTCCCCTGAGGTCACACTTTCCAACAATCAGCTGTTACCGGGGTGGAAGGCAGGAAGTTTCCTTAAAGGCACAATGTTATGAACACAGGTTCGGCATTCTGGAGCTCATGGGAGCCATAGCAATCCCTCGATGGAGCCCGTCTTTCATACAGAAGGAGCTGCCTCACACTCCAGGCTGTTGCCTTCACCCACAATTGGGAGCTTATGGAAACGTCATGGATCCCTCTCCACACGTTCCTTTTTGATGGTGGTGGAGAGATGGGAGTGATTGAGATGGGATGGACCTCACACTTGCCCCTTTAACGAAGCGGTTCTGCAGCTTTTGCCAAGTCATTGGGTTCTTTTCCGATTATTATTATTATTATTTTGCCCATGTCCCCGCCCCTCTATGCTCTGATTGGCCTCTGGGGAAGGAACAGCCTCCTCATTGGTCTCCACCTCTGAAATCGCTTCCCCTAAGTAGGCCTGAGTCAGTGAAAAGCTTCTGGGGGGGGGCGGGACAGAATGGGGATATCGTGCTGAGGACTGGGTTGCTGGCCAGTTGCACGTTGGCCCGGCCCGTCCCCTAGTTTCCGACCACAAGTCTTCCTTCTACCCTCAGGTGAAGGCTGTGCTATAAATCTTTCGTTGGGAAGCTGCTGCTTGACAGGCTTTGTCTCTCTGTGACTGGGGCAAGACATCTACCAGAAGTTTCCTCTGATTAGGAAGGCCCTCCAGGAGGAGTGGATTAGACCTCTCCAAGAGAAAGCTGAGGCCAGCCGAGGTGGGCAGTCCTCCTCCAAAGCCCCCAGGAGTCCTTATTTCAAAGGAAGAGTCTGTGTGCCCTGGGGCTGATTTCCACCTTCAGTTCTCACTCCTGCAGCCTCTCCTGCTCTTCCTGAGAGAAGCATCGCCTCCAGCAAGAGGTCAGTGAATCCGTTTGGGGGCTGTCTAAAAGAACCACTCACAGCTCCGAGAAGGAGGAGCTGTAGCCCTTTAAGAGTTCGCCGGGATGGATTCAGAGAAGAGTTTAAAAATGCCAACTCACAGAGCGCGCTGGATTCTGGGAACGAGGTGTCAGACCGAGAACTACATAGACCAGTATGCACCGCAAACACACACGCCTCGACTTCCTTCTGCTCTTTAGGGCTCGGGTTTGACGAACCGCCCCTCTGAGCAAGTAGCCTAGAAGCAGGGCTAAGCCACACCTTTTTACCTATTGGCCAGCTCTCGAGTTGGTGGGCGTGGCTTAGCTCTACTCCACTCGGCAAAGGGGTGGCCTCCTTGCCAATCAGAGCTAAGACGTCCAGGGAGGCGGGACCAAGGCGAAGCTCTGGCGCCCCCGAGTGGGTGTAGTCACGCTGCCCAGCAGTGGGCGGTGATTGGCCCTGGGCGGTGCAATCGCAGTTTGTGCGTCACGACGCCGCCAGCTGATCGGAGACTGGAGCCGGTGTGTGCTGGGCGCTGGGAAGAGACAGCGCCGCCGGCCGTGGGGATCGGACGCACTGATTTGCTCCCCTACCCTCAGCACCCCCCCCACCCAGCACCAGGTGGGTGTGAGCTGGGGTCCCGGCAGCACAGGAGGGACCCGTGCTAACGGGGTAATGGGGGAAAGTAGGGTCCTGACGGCCACACCCTGCCCTTCCGGGGGAGGGGTGAGGGGGCGGCGGGGGTTGGGGCGCTCAGGGAGAGAGGAGCCTTGACTGGCTGGAGTAGTGTGTCAGGAGGTTTAAAGAAGGAGTCTGGGACAGTGATCTTGCGGGAGGTTTCGCGGAGTAGCTGGGAGGAAGACGAGGGGCCAGAGGGCTGGGGGCGGCTAACCTCGGCGCCCTCTGGTCTGAGGATACGGGAGCCGGCCTCCCAGGCTTGAGGAGGATTTGGACGGGGCGGGTAGCGGGGAGGTGCTTTGCCTGTGCCGGCACTCACTGGGTCAGGGCCAGTTGAGCGCCCTGGCAGGGAAGGGGTCTCTGGGCGGGCCAGCCCCTCCTCTCGTTCCCTCCAGGGGATGTTATGTAAGGGGGGAGGGGAGAGGAGTAGGGGGCGGCGGTGCGGGGGCCTTATGCAACCCAAAGGTTAGGGTTTCACCGCGGGTTGGTGGGGGGAGCAGGCAGAAGGAGAGCCTGGAAACTCTAACCTTCCCCCCTCCCCAGCCTAACTGGCCGTCTTGGGCCGAGAGAAGGTCACCTCTGCACCTCCCCCCAGCCTGTCCGGTAGTGGGGCCCCTAGCCCAGGCCTGGCCCTGACCGCCTGGGAAGCCGGCTGGCTGGGTGGGGCGCCTGGGTTAGTCATCACTGGGCTCCCTCTCTCCCCACCTCTCGGCCAACTCTTGGCCCCTCCCCGTGGCCTCTGGCTAGGCTATTGCCCCCACCTCTCTCCGGCCCTAGTTGCAGCCTCCAACTCATTTGGCCTGTCATCCTGGCTGTCAGACTGAGCTAGGAGCTGTCAGGGTGCCAAAGGGTTGATGGAGCAGCTGGTCAGAGGGTCAGTGCCCTGGGCCCACCCCTCCCTGCAGCCAAGGGCACCTGCTTGGCACAGACTCTCAGCAGCAGCTGAGTCCTATGGGCTGAACAGAGCCTGCTCAGGCAGTTAAGAGTGGGAAGGAGTTGAACTGGTCACCTGGGAGAAGGAAGATGCCACAAAGTTCATACCTCCCAAGAGGGTTTTAATTTGAAAACCTCCCACCCTAATCTCCCTTTACCCTCTGAGCATAGATATCTAAAGGCAAGACCGCCTTGGCCCCTCACACTGGCATGGACCATGCCCTTCGACAGAGTGTCAGCACAGACCCACCCTCCCAAGCTCGCTGCCTTCAAGCCTGCCACGCCCCCAGCCCCCTCCCTTGGCCATGCTGCAGGGCCCGGCTTTTCCTGCTGATTCATGCGTTGGAACTGTGGGGGCGGGGCTTGGAACTTGGAACAAAGTTCAGACATGGAGGGGCCGGCAGACAGCCTGGAATTCATACCAGATGTACCCGGAATGCGCAAGCGGAATGCCTGGCATTTAAGAGTCCTGGGGAAGCTGCCCAACCACTCTGCCCTACCTCCCTTTCCTCCAGCCTCTGGTCCCCTTTCCTCTCCTCACAGTCCCAGGAACCTCTGCTGACCTTCTTCGAAACCCTAAACCTCCTCCCTTCCTTACTCTTCCCCAGATGTAGGCCCCCCCAAAACTCTTCTTCCTGCTGAATTTCCTGAGACTGAGTCAGTTGCGCTGATCCCTCCCAATTCTGGACCTGAGGTACGCCTTCTCACCTAATACCTGGGTAACTGGTGGAGAGTGTCCAGGCTCCCAGATCCTGCCCTTTCAGTGCTGAGGAGGCTGGAGGCTACCCTGTGATTAGCCAAGGCAACATGGGGTGAGAGCACATCTAGGTTTCTACAGCATTCAGTTCTGGAAAGAGGAGCAAGGAAGTAGGTTCAGAGCTGCCTCTTGTCCCTCATTGGAGGCCCAGGTCAGAGCCAAGAAGCCCTTCATTAGAAGGTTGAACATCCACTGGAGCCGGACTTTGATGGCCAGTGGGACAGTGTCCCTGTGACATGGCCTTGCTCAGGTCTTTCCCATTTTTCTTTCCTTTCCCTTTTAGGAACCTGTGCCTCCCACATCCTCACCTGGCTGAGCCGCAGTAGTTCTTCAGTGGCAAGCTTTATGTCCTGACCCAGCTAAAGCTGCCAGTTGAAGAACTGTTGCCCTCTGCCCCTGGCTTCGAGGAGGAGGAGGAAGAGGAAGAAGAGGAGAAGGAGCTGCTTTCCCCCTCCTCTGGAAGGTGACAGAACTGGGGTTGGGAAGGTCTGAACAGCGAGAGTGATGATACCTTTTGGGGAAGGGAACCCTATTCAGTTGGAGAACCTTGCCCCAGATTGACCCAGCAAGAAAAGTTTCAGATCAGAGACCCTGGCTGAATTGAGGAATAGAGGGCTCTGAGTACCCAAGTATAGTTGGTCTTTGACAGTGGGAAGAAGTGGAGTAAAGAAAACCCTGCCTTCCCCTTTATGCAGGAAGGATCCCCTTTCCTGATCCTCCTTCCTTCCTTGCCCCTCATTCCTTCCTACTGGCCTTTCCAAGTTCAAAAGTAAGTTTCTTCTTCAGGGAAAAGGTCATACTGAGTTGCCCATCTGAGTAGTCATCCCCCTGCTCTTATCTGTTCCCTATATTTCCTTAGTCTGGCCCAGACTCTAAATTCAGGGCTACTCACCTCCACATGGGACCCTTAGGCCTCCTGTGTCAGTTTCTCCACCTGTGAAATGGGGAATCACACAATTGAGTGTGCATGAAGGAATCAGAAGCCCACTTGTGTGGACTCAGAGCCTGGGCTGTCCTCTGCTGTGGGTGGGAACAGAACAGCTTTTCATATAAGCTGTTGCCCTTCCCCCACCCCTGACCAGAACCCCGGGAGCTGGGGCTGGAGGTTGAAGGGAGGAACTAGGGTTAGACCAATGCCAGGAGCTGCTGGGAACTCAAGTCTTGGCATTGACTTCCCACCAAGCAAAGGTGGCTCAGGCTTCCCCTGCCTCCCAGAGCAGGACCACAGCCCTGATGGGTTTCCAGCTACCACTGCTGACTTCCCCCACTTACTCTTCAAGGACAGGGTGTGAGATTCAGCTCAGGCCTGTGCAGGCAGGAAATTCTCCTCTCTAGCAACCAGAAGAGATGGGTTATGAGATGTGACCGCTTTAGGGGCATCAGGCAGAATAAACCTGCCACCCCCAGCTCCTGATCTAATCTCACCCTTGGGCTCATGTTCTGGTGTGTTTCAGCCTTGGCCCAGTCTGTCTGCCTGAAGGTAATCAAGTTCAGGGGTTATTGGAAGCTGTTTGTTCTGTTTGGGAGCAGGAGTTGTGCAGGTAACTGGGTCCTGTTCTCCACTTTTGAGGAACAGTTTTAGGAGAGAGTAGCTCATTGAACCCACCCTCTGCAGCCTAAGCTGGATGTGAGTGGACTGCAATAGAGGAGGGTGGGTAGACTTGAGTCCACTCACAGGCTGCAACAAAGGTTGCTCTGTCCCTGGACATTGCTTCCATCCTTTCTTCCCCTCCTCGCTTCACGGGCCACAGTGTCTTCATCCAGCCTTGGGTACATGGCTCTGCCATCCTCACCCATCATGGAGCAGAAATGAGGAAAAAAAGCCTGGAAACACAGAGGCAGACAGAAGACCAGTGAAGGACCAGGCCTGGAGGGCACAGGGCCCTGTCTGGACATCCTGCAGAGGGGGGCCCATAGGGGCCAGGAGCACCCCCAGGAGGAGGGAGGACAGCCACCCTCCACCGAGGACAAGCTTCCAGCCGTCTACTTCATTCTCCATTGCTCGCCAGTCTTTCTGCCTCCCTCAGAGATGTGGGACCATGTTGAAGCGTCCTTCGCTTCATCCTCCTGCTTCCACCCCTCATCACCATGTAATTTGTCTATAAGCACCCTAGAGGAGCAAGAGCCAGCTGTGAAAGGACATATGCAGAAAATTCATGAAAGAAATCCCGATAGATAAAACCATGGGAAAAGGTGTGCTTTTTTAGTAATTAAAGAAAGGCTGCTATAGCTGGAAGCATTTTTCCTGTAGCAAACTATAAGAGAAAAAATAAGACCCAGTTATTGACAAAGGAGTACTAACACTCTCATACATTGCACACAGGTATACAAATGGGTAGTCTTACTGATGTCAGTTTGGTAATGTGTGCCAAACATCCTAAAAGTTTCATGGCCTTTGATCTAGTAATTCTACATTTGGGAATGTATCCTAAGAATATAATTAAAGATTAGTTATAAGATGTTCATCCCAGCAATGCAGTAGGAAAAATTGAGAACCAACTGTCCGGTTGGGAATTCATTTCTTTTTCTGCTGTAATGAAAATTTGCAAGAGAGGGTTGCTTGAGTAAATTATTATGTATCCACCCAGATGGTGGAACACTGCGCAGCCATTAAAAGTCATGTAGGAGAGCATTTGACTGGAAAGAAAAATGCTCTCTGAATATTAAAAAGGTTATAAAATGGTGTGTATTATGTGATCTCAATTTTGCTTTTTTAAATATGGGTGTGTACTTTATAAGAGTTAAAAGACTGCAGACAAATTGTTAATAATAGTGGTTATCTTTGGATGATGGAATAAAGTCGTAATTTTCCTGTTTGGTTTTCTGTAGTTGCCAGATTTTCTCCATTAATCATGTATGGCTTTCATATAATAAATAAGATTTAAAAGAATCAGTGTAATTTTTAAAACTTCTGGAGTGGTGGGTGTGGAAGAATGAAGGGATCCCCCCAGCCCCGTTCATTTAATGGGGTTTTGGTGGAGGAGGGGAGTTGTGAGAACATTTGTGGGAGCACCTATTGCTTTATGAATTTTATTCTTTGGGAGTAGCTGGAATCCACTCCTTGTATAGGGAACAGCTATTGCTCTGACTTGGTGGCTGCCACCTAAAGAGGTGTAGAGTGGATGGAGTAAAATGGGAAACAGGAAGAACCTGTCACTCTTCAGGAGAGAAAGAGCTCCCTGCCCCCAAAGCTGAAAGCTTCTGTATAATCCTGACAGTCCTGCTTCTGAAAGCAAGATGGGGCTTTTTCCCTTTGACTCTGCCCCAGTCTTGAGGTGACCCTGTGTGACCTCTCTTTGCCTCCTCAGATTGGCAGAGATACTCACTCCTCCCCTAATGGGTACCAAGCCCTGGAGGTGGGGGCTACTTTTCAAGTCTGTGGGGCTGGCTGAATGGTTCCCTTCTTGATGGTAAGGGTCCTCCGGAGAGGTTAGGGGAGGGACTGGTGGGTCTCTCAGAGAAAGGGAGTGTTCCCTATGAGAGGTACCATGTCAAAGGGCAGGACTCCTGGAGTTTACGTGGGGTTGCTGAAATGTGTTCAAGGTGGCTGGAAGGAAGTGAGGTGCCCCTCCGCTCCACAACTGAGACCGGGGTGGGGCGCGGGGCAGAGCGATGGCGAGGTTTATGCCCGTAGGAGTGAGTTTGCCCTGGCCTCTAACTTCAGGGCTAAGTGGGTAGGGCAGGCAGGAGGGCCAGCAGGTGAGAGGTGAGAGCAGGTGAAATAGGTGAAGATTCACATGGCTGGGCCTCTGAGAGTGTCAGGTGAGATTAACAAGCCATTTCCGGATTTGTGGGGACGTGGGGACACCAGAGAGCTTGGGAAGACCCCTGTCGACATCCAGAAAGCCTCCCTAAGCTCCGTTTACGGGTCTGATCCGGGTAAGTCCCCTACCCTCCATCCGCCTCCAGGGCGACACGCGATCGAAGGCTGTGCCTCAAGGGGCGGTGGCCCCACCGCTTCTCCAATCACCGCCCAGCCAAGGGTTGGGGGCGTGGAAGAGATCCGGAAAAGTTAAAGCCGATTTCGAAGGCGGAGCGGGCGGGGGAATCTAGGCACCCAGCCTTGCGGAGAAGCCTGCTCGCAGTCCCCGCAGCGGGGTGTTGGATTCGTCGGGGCTGAGAGCCCGGGAGCCCCAGGGACCGATCCGGACCTAGCCTGCCCGCCAGGCCATGGCGCCCTCTGGGCTCCTCGTCACCGGCGCCTCCTTCGCTGCTTTCCGGGGGCTGCACTGGGGGCTGCAGCTACTGCCCACGCCGGGATCTGCCGCCCAGGACCGTTGGAAGTGGCGGAACACTTGTGTCTCCCTGGTGCACAGCCTGCTTACGGGGGCCGGGGCGCTGCTCGGGTGCGGGACCTAAGAGGTTTCGGAGGCACCGTGGCGAGGGCGAGGGAGGGGGGCAGGTTGGCTGGGATTAAAAGACCCGGGGGCTTCTTTAGAATCCATGCGAGATCTCGAAGAGTCTGAGGCTGGGGTGGGGTTGTGGATGAGTGGGTGCTGTCGATCCGTATCTACACAAACGCTGACCATGGCTCCCCCGTCTCCTCCAGGCTGTCGCTGTACCCTCAGATGTCCGCCGACCCGATTCATGGCCACCCTCCCTGGGCTCTGGTGCTGGTGGCTGTCTCTGTGGGTGAGTCTTAAGGGAAAGCTGGACCAGTTTTGTTGCAGGAAAGGGGACCCCTTCCAGGGCCCGAAACTGGGCTCTTGTCTAACAGTCGGGGAATGAATTGTCCGAGGAGACACATGTGTTGACAAAGCAAGAGATTTTACTGGGAAAGGGCACCCGCGTGGAGAGCAGTAGGTTAAGGGAACCCAGGAGAACTGCTCTTATCACATGGGTTTTATGGCGATGAGATTAGTTTCTAGGTTGTCCTTAGCCAATCATTCTGACTCGGAGTCCTTCCTGGTGGTACATGGCTTGTTCGGCTAAGGTGGATGCCAGAGAGGATTCTGGGAGGTGGTTGGACAGGTGGTGTCTCCTTTTGACCTTTCCCAAACTCTTCTGGTTGGTGGAGGCTTATTAGTTCCCTGTTCCTTACCAGGACCTCCTGTCCTAAAACAACTCACGCAGATGGTTACTATGGTGCCTGGCCAGGGTGGGCGATTTCAATCAGTGTGCTTCCCCTAACAGTTTGGGGCAGGGGACAAACTTCCAGAAGTCATTCCAGGTCTCCTTCTCTCTTCCATTTCTTGATGGAGTGAAATGTTTCTGGCAGCTTTACTGAGAGGAAACTAAAGAGCAGAGAAAGGAGCGGGTGGAGATTCTTTTCAAGACTGGACACTGGCTTGGGGGAGGCCTAACGCCAACCTCCCCTCCTTGCCCACAGGTTATTTCCTGGCAGATGGGATTGACTTGTTCTGGAATCAGACCTTGGGCCAAGCCTGGGAACTTCTTTGTCACCATGTGGTGGTGAGACTTGGCCAGCGGCGAGACAGGGAAGGAGGCATGCCCAGCCTGGGGGTTCCTAGTCTCTCAGCTTTCTGTCCTGTGACTTCCCCCAGTTTCTGACCCCTGCTGGCGCTTAATCCTCCCAACCTTGGGCTGAACTGGGGGGAGGGGATTACTGCTGGCCACAGTTGGAGTCAGCACTGCCCAAGGAGACTGGGTTCCCACAGGTGTCCAGTCTATTGCCGAAACATTGACAATGGAGCTTTAATAAGAAGGCGGAGTCCCAGTACTGGGAGTAGGGATGGGGTGTGAAAGCATAGGAATGCAAATAGTAGGGGACAGACAGCCTGGGGCCAGAGCTGCTCCAATTCAATTCTATGGAAGGGTTGTTACTAGGCTATTCAGGCTCCTAACAGAAGGGTAAACATAAGGTTGGCTTTGTTGGGGGCTGTGTGGGAAGTGCCACAAGATGCTTGGGAACCCTTCTCGAGGACTGGGATGTTGGGACCTGATCATGTTGGGATCTCATGGGTGGTCAGTCATGGAAGGTCCTCTGACCTCTGACCTCTGACTTCGGCTCCCCAGGTAGTGAGCTGCCTCAGCACCGCCGTTCTGTCCGGCCACTACGTGGGCTTCTCTGTGGTGTCTCTGCTCCTGGAGCTCAACTCCACCTGCCTGCACCTACGACAGCTACTGCTGCTCTCTCGCCAGGCCCCATCCCTGGCCTTCAGCGTGACCAGCTGGGCCACCCTGGCCACCCTGGCCCTCTTCCGCCTGGTGCCACTGGGATGGATGAGCCTGTGGCTGTTCCAGCAACGCCACCAGATCCCTCTTGCTCTGGCCATCCTTGGTGGAACTGGACTGGCCACTGTGGGTGTCATGAGCATAAATTTGGGCGTCCACATTTTGGTCCGTGATGTTTTGCGATCTCGGCCCTGCCCACCCATCCTTGGAAACAAGGAAACCAGGGGCACCAGGACAGATTGTGATGGTGAGTCCATCATCAGGGATGATTCCACTCTCAGCCTGAAAGACTGAGCCTCAGGCTCCTCCTCTGCCAGGCCTGGGGGAGGGAAGACCAAGACCAGGAGACGCTGGTCTTCAATGCACTGTCCCCCAGGGACAAGGCCTGGACTGGGTTTTCAGTATCTCAGTTCCTCTTCCAGCTAACTCCTGCATTCCTAGGATCTGAGGAGAAATGCTAATATTCATGGATGGGTGGGAACCTGGGCTACTGTTCACTGAATCCCATCATCAGACAACTGCCCTTTTCAGCAAATTAATTCCAGAGGTACAGTCTGTGCTACCAATAAAGGGTAGTGGGAGGCATGAAGCTGGATGAAACTGCCAACGGGAACAGAGACTCTGCTTTAGCACAGGAACAGATGAGGAAAGTGGAAGTCCTTCTAGGATCAGAAAGAGATCTGGTCAGAAGGGGTGAAGATCAGAGAGAAGAGAGACCTCATCCATGACCAAATTATAGCAGGGGGAGGAGGGTACAACAGGTGCTATGTGTAACCAGTAGGGATGGACATAACAGTTACCAAGAGACAAGAAACTGGTGATGTTTCTGATTCTCAAAACCACATTATTCTGTTTGTATTTCAACCTAGTCTGACTGTGTCCAGCATCCTCCTTTTACCTTTTTTTAGTGTCTTTGGACATTTTCAAAGAAAATGCAGATTCTTAGAGGAATTCTGAGATTCATTAGAGGAATGAGCACTTGTCTAGGTCTGTCTTCTCCAGACTGTACTAAAGTCTAGAGCCATAGCAGGAACTCAACCACCATTCTGGGTGCCCCGTATAGGATCTTCCCAAGCTCAGGCTTTCATGGAAGAATGAGGTCAGAGGCAGAAGCAAATGAGGTGAGGCTCCCACTTGGATGCAGAAGCATTAAGGAATATCTGACTCTCTTCTGGGATTAATTTGCAAGCTCTCCTTTCTCCTCTGCTGCTTTTACTTTATTTTCTTTTCTTTTCTTTTTTTTTCTATTGCACAAGACACCTCCCTTCTGCAGGCAGAACATCCAGGTTGTATGAAGTATAAGCAGATGAAGGTTGCAATTCCACTAAACAATGGGAAAGAAATAGATAACCCTTAATTATCCACAGAAAAGATACAGGAGACAAAAGCAAGAGAGAGATAAAAGCAAAAAGCTAAGCTAGAGAGAGACAAAGGGAATGAAAGAAACAGACATAGCCAGATGGAAGGACAGCTAGGAAAAGATTTGTTCCATAGGAGAGACAGAGAGAGGACAAGACACAATCCTTGGCAGAAATTTCAAGAAAGTCTGTTATGGATGGTGAGAAGAACCAAAATCATAGAATTGGTTAAATGGTCATAAAGAAAACAAAATAGAAATAACGGCTGATGGGAAGGGACCCCAATGGCGGAAGATACAGATAGTCTAGATGGTGAAATAAGGTGAGTGAGTGACAAGGAGGAACCACCAGATCCGGGGGAGACAGGTGGTAGTGACTGACAGATTAGCAGAGTGAG